ACACACACACACACACACACACACACACACACACACACACACACACACAAAATACTGCTGTCTGTATATCAAGTCTCTGACTTGCTTTAAGAAACTCTGTAGACCTCTCAGGTAATCTGGGGTTGTTCTGCTGAATTCTTCTCGAGGTTAAAAATATTAAAGATATGAGGCAACACACAGTTGGAGAAAACTGCCAACGCACATGAGAAATCTGATACATAATACAAATGGTTGCTGCATTTTTCATTTATCTACTTTCTGCCCTCATTGAATCTTTTTTTTTTCTGTTGTACACAGTTTTATTAACAGTATTCACCACATAGATTTGTGCATAAAATGTGTTTCAGAAATCCGGTTTGCCTCATCTTGCTTGTTCATCAGCAGAGTTGGCTAATTACAACAGATATTAACGGGGGAGGAAGTGGCCACGGAGGACTAGAACCTGCAACCCCACTTCCTCCCCTCCAGGAGAGTGGATGCATGCAGAGAGTGAGGACTCTTCAAGGTAACTTTTCTCACTCTCCTCCAGCTCCTTCTCGCCAGCAAACAGTCTCATCCCCAGAATTACGTCCCAACGAGACACGCCTGCACAAACACGATATAAGCATAAGATACACACACACACACACATGACTACCCCCCCCCCATCCCACATGGCTCTGAAGCAGCACTGCCCCTCCTACCCCTCTGTCAATAAGCCCAGTTTGGAAACACTTTAAACAGACTTGCACATTGCTCCGCTACAAAAAGGGAAAACTTCAAGACATGCTCTCCTCCATACCCGCTGGGTTAATTAGAATTGTTTTAAACAGCCACTGCCATGCTTTTTAAACATTAATGGGCACATGCATTACAACTAAGACATTAACATATCCAGAAAGTTTAACCTCTTCTCTGCTCCCTGGCTCCAGCATGAGGAGCAGAGGGGGACGACAGAGAGGACAGTTGACCTCTGCTGCCCCCTGTGTTACAGCTGGAAAACAACAAGGGAATTTTCAACGAGGAGCAGCAGCCGGCTTTGGATCAGAGCAATCGGAGCCAAGCCACCATGCCGGCTGAATGACAATCAGCTTGTATGTTGGTGATGAGAGAGAGAGAGATGCAAACCCAGAGGCTATGTAGCACCAATAAAAACATACATTATTCACTAACAGGGACATACAATGAGCTGTAGTGTTGAACAAAAAGATAAGTGAGACAGGAATTACAGTTGTGATCCCTTCTAGGCAAAAGCACCAAATCAAACAATACATTTAGATATTTCAACAGCAGTCCTTATTTCTAGGTTCTATTAAAATTACATATTTTGGGGGAATTACAACTAGTTCTTCGAACACAGTTTGGGTTTTAAAAGTTAATAACAGAAGTCTGTGTTTGTCTGCAATGTTGAAATATGAATAATAATTTTGATCTAGCAATATAATCAGGATTATGAATTTCTTTGGGAATGATTTTGAGCCAGAAAAATGAAGAATGTGAACTCTGTGTAACAAATCATGTGAGTTCAGATAAGCAGTGGCAGCCCTTACCTCACAGAATAGTGTTAATTTGTCATCAGGCAGCAGACCGTTGGCCTTGTCCAGCAGGAAGTCCCTCCTTATGAACTTCTTGAAACCCCAGTCTTTCCCCTGGACAAAGCGGTACGCTCTCTGGCTCTCTGGGAAAAAGAAAACACATGGACAAACAAGATTATTTGGAGACTTTCACAACGTGATTAAGCTCTGCGTGTGTGAAAGTGTGTGTGTGCGAAAGAGAAAGTTAGTTATGAGTCATGGCCGTAAGCAGCGGAGAAACAATGGCGAAAGAGGCTGGGTGCAGGAAGTATTGCCTGCAGGGAGCTTTTAACACTTCAGAAGAAAACAGAATCTCTCTCTCTCTCACTCACTGTATCCTCTCGCAGCCACATAAAGACGAGTGGTAAACATGAGACAGAACTGCTGCGCCTCTTTAGCCAAGAAGTGAGAAATTGCAGGGATCAAAGCAGTCCAATTATCATGTATTTATGGAGTGCCAATTATCTCTGACAGTGGCAGGAAGGATTCTGTAACACTCGGTTGCACTACAAAGACACAGGAAAAGGTGCTGGAGTTCTTGTGTGTACAATAGTCACACTGTGGGGGCGGTCACCTAACAGTCACAAATGCTCACATACAAGGTCAAAAGATAATGACTCCGGACTACGACTGCTGCAGAGATCACAGCAAATGAACGCTAATTGACGATAGAAAGGTAACAAGTAACTGGAGCTCTGTTGGAGGGACGCAACACCATTCTTTGGAGAAATTACATCACCCGCCATTTTGTTAATGAGTCGAAAATGCTTCCTCGGGCACTGCTCTGGGATTTCTGCATGTGTTCAGCCGAGACATGCTTCAGACCGCTTCTGTGTATGGAGACATCTTTGTCCAATCCAATCAGGAGAGACGTGTAATAACTTAAGGCTGTATATATCTGTTGTTGTGCATCCTGTCCTACAAAGGCTTAAATGGCATCAAACGATATACAGGAAAACCACTAGAAGACAATTCACTCAAGTCAAGTATTTTCATTTCTTTGGTAGATGTCATCAGCACATGATGTTAACATGCATCTGGGTGATTGGATTGTGTTGAGAAAGAGCAGCAACACAATCCAGGAGTAAATTCATTAAAAATAAACCAAAGATTCAATCACCAAAACCAACACTCGTGCTCATTTGGCCGAACTGACAAAGTGTAATAGCGATCACATCACAATATTTTTGACCAAATACCTCAATATCGATATTAGAACGATATTGTAGGGTTGACTATTGGTGCACAAGATATTTACACAGTGAGGCTTTTGATAAATAATCATCTATAATGTGGATATAATGACTAAGTGGGTGAAGGCAGATACAAGAAAAGTTAGTCTGGTAAACATACATCACTTTACTGTAATTCAGCCTTTCAAACCAGGAAAAGTCAATACTTGTACTATATTACGATATCCAAAATCTAAGTCTCTAGTCCAGATATCTAGTCTCATATCACGATATTGATACAATATCGAAGTATTGCCCAGCCGTACGTTGAGATGTATCCACCGTCTACATACAATATATCAGCTACATATATGTAAAGGAGCATTTGTGCACGAATCATACATGCAAACCTAAAAGGGAGTATTAGGAGGGTAGTGAGGTGCCTATCAGGCTGGGATTTGCAAGAGACGTCAGAATTCAATATGTACATGAGGATTATTTTAGCGTAAATATCATCGTATCAACAATGAGATAATAAAAGAAATATACAATTTGAGACTGTAAAAATGGAAAAAATGTGCCTGCTTGAGCTGCCTGGATGCTAACCAAAAGACACTTCACACAAGTTTAAGCCCAAACTGATTTATTCAGTATTTTTGATGGCCTCCTGCTTATCATTTATGACATTTAAGACTTCTGTGGGACATGTAAACAACCTATATCCATGGACATTCTACAGATTCAACTCATTTGTCAATGCAAGATGATGTAAAATCATCAAAAACAACCCCGGAGTCTTCTTCAGACCCGGTTAAAGGGCACGAAGTGGTAAAAGACTCCTTGGAAAGTCCACTGAAACAGGCTATAAGCTGCAAAGTCACCACATACCAAGAGGTCATCGCCTCTCATGTTCATCTGCAGTGTGTGCAGACTAACATGTGTTCAGCCCCGGCAGTTCAAACAGATTTGTCTTCAGGCTGACTCTTGCGCAGAGATCCCAACAGGAGATCTGCTGACAGATCACAGTGGGAAGCGCTAAGATGAAGTGTCAATGCTGCTGTAAGATCCTGTGTCAAATCCTCTGTTTGGATCTGAGGGAGCAGGCGGCCTAAGAGGAGATTGGTGGAGGAGTGCAGTGCATATGCAGTTATTCCCACCACCGCACTCATGCACGCGGTCCTTCACTGTAATCCCCTGCCTCTAGAGACTGTGTACGCAACGACGCTGACAGAAATCACCATAAACACACACAAATGCATAAGCACGCGGGCACAAAAATGACAAGTCCTTGCATTCTGCTTTCTCACAGCACTCTACTTGATTCATTGTTCTGCCACCGAGTGAAACAGAGGGAGAGAGTCAATGTTTTCAAAAAAAAAAAAGACTGAGTTTTGTAGTCCAAAGATCTTTCAACCGAAGCTGAGCAGGTTTGAAAAGAGAGTGAAACTCCTGTGGCCTCGCTACACTGTACCGCTTGTGGCTGGGTAGACGCACAGTAACGGTACCTGAAGAAACTCTTTCTCTGCTGACTTTCACCCACACTTTCATGTCCTTTAAACATGCTTGATAAGATGTAGCATGTGAGACCCAGAAGAAGTCCCGAGGCACAGACTCTCCTTGTGAAGTTGTGTTATTTGGGTATGAAACAAGACTAGCAGTGATGAGTGAGGACTTCCCCAGTGGCAGTATCTAAAGCTGAACTCGGGTGTGAGGAGAGAGGCTGGCAGGAGAGTGAGATGGGTGGGGGGGGGGGCAAACCAAGAGGAGGAGGTGAGGAGAGGTGAGAGGGAGTGTTAAAAGAAGCTCCACTAGACTAGGGGGAAAGGGAGAGGGAGGTGTGACTTCTTCAGTGTGTACCCGTGACAGTGAGGTGCCTGTGTGTGTGTGTGTGTGTATGTGTGAATTTGCACACGCATACAAGCACTGATGATGATGAGATTGTGTGTGTGTGTGTGCTGAGCTCAGCTAATGTCATGCTGCCATTTTCTAGTGGGGCATCAGAAAGCGGCACTGGCAGAGAATCAACTGCAGGTCAGATGGCTGGTTGCTTACTCTTTCAGTGAGTTGGCCAAGGTGGCGGCAGCACACCCACTCTGCCAGAATACCAAACAGAGCTGGACAGTGGTGGAGGGGGGTCAGCACAGCCGAGACATCCAAATGGGGAAAGTGTGAGTGGTGGAAAAAGACTGGTAGAAAGATGAACAAGTGCAGACAGGAGGTTGCGTTTTGCGTCACAGCACACTTGATAATTATTATGGAATTTGTGTGAAAAACCCCCCCACTTACAAGGTAGACATGTACCTTGTATGACATGGTGGACTGTGATAATACATTCGAAGGGTGAAGTTTCTCACCCTTCCAAAAAAAAAATACTGAAGGTGATGGAAAAGGTGAAAAAAAAATTTGAGGTCTGAGCTGGAGAGCGTGAGCGACGCCGCGGTGTTTAAGTGAGCGGGGGCATCCATATTCAGGCAGAGGGCTCAGGGGCACGGTTGGCACACAGAGCGAGAAGGTCGCCAGAAGACGAGCCGGCGTGTTGGAAAATAACAGACGACACAGCAGCCAGAGTCGACGTCTCTCCCGACGTGTCTGCCGCTCTTCTGGCTTTCTTTTTCACACGTTCAACTTCAGCAAAAACAATTCCTACACTAACCACTGCTCACAACCACGGACAGACCATACGCTCACAACCATTTCCCAATCTCTCAAAACATATTGACGTGAAAGGGCAATTAGCACGATCCGTTAACTGAGCAGTCTATACATGCGCGTATTCATCTCACCAGAAACAGTTTTAAAAATCGGATTTAAAACTGAATTGCCTCTGCACACGGATTAACGTTGCATAAAGCAGACAAATGCACATATAAACATGACATCAAGTCTTTTCCCAGAAGAAAATCTAATCTCTATTGAAGACTGAGCTCTATAAACTAGTGTCAGCACAAACATGTCTATTGACATCCTTTCTAGCGATGCCGATAGCATCTGATTATGTCAAGACTGACCAATAGCTTCTCCTCCATTAGCCGTGCTCCACTCACCCACACAGAATGCCTGATCACCTCCATCAGTTACTGAGGGCAACAGACTCTGACAAGCTCACACACAGGGCTTCAATTAACTGAAAAAATAAAATACACACACACTGAATCTCCAGCTACAAAACATAGAAGCAGCCCACAGCAACTCGACACTACACACGTAAGCTCACTTAGCCTTTGGCTACAAAAGAACAATACCATTGTCTGTAGGGGAGACTTAACAAGGAGACTATTTGAATACAAAACAGCTTGCGGCAGAGGATGAGAACTTTCCATCTCGCCTCTCTCCGAGTTGTCAGAACAGGAGACTGCAGGATGATTTTCTCTGGCGAAAGGAGGAGACAAGTTACAACCCACCCAGCAGCCTCGGAGGAGAGAACCAGCACATTAAGCCAGGGAGAGAAATGATGCGGCCAAGTCGAGACTACAGGAGTACAGTGTGGGGAGGAGGGGGGGGGCTACCGCTGTTGCCTGAATCTATCTCCATTAGCAAGTAGGGACCCTCAGAGGATTCAGACACAGACACACAGGGGGGGGGGGGGGGGGGGGCTCCAGGGCTGACTGATGCGGATGTGGTGTTTCATCAGATAATGTCGAGCTTTCCAGTCAAAATTTGCCATCGTAGTGCAGCCTTCAAATCCTGGACTGTTTTCATCCCTCCTCCTTTAAGCACTGCAGGAATGCTTTAATTCTCAATATGCACACGCCAGTCGAGGCAAAAATCTAAATGTATGCCCACTCAGAGACCGGGGAGAAATTAAACAATGAGTGTATGGCCAATGCTTTTGCATTAGTGACAGAGATTGGCTTGTGAGTGAGAGCTTGCCTCGTCTAAAAGCTTCAAAAGACAGAAATTCAATCCGACACCTCAAACACAATCTTCAGCTCCTCAGTTGAATTTTCCGTTCCTTCAGTAGGATTTTGTCATTTGCCTTCGATAGCAATGTTACTCTGCTTTATTTCAATACAGTGTACTCACTATACTTTCCTTTCATCACTGATTAGCCACTAATTCCTCTAACTGACTACTCCAGTACCCATAAAGTACTAACCTAGCCCTAATATTTTACTCGAAATTGTCTCTACAGGGACCAAGTGTATAAAAAGGCCAAACCGTCACATAAACAGTTCACGGCCACCCAGCTTTCTTAATTAAGGTACTTTGTTTGTATTTGGACTTTTTTGCTGGAGGCCTGGATTAAATTGGATTCTAAATGATCCAGAACCGATAGAGCAATCTTTACTGCCATATTCGTAGACGGAGCGCTCACTTAACTGTCACAAATATGGTGGCAGTTGGGTAATTTTCTCCTGTGACACGGCGAGCGAAGATGAGGGCCCAGGTCTCCCCAGGGGGATTGTGGGAAGATTGGAGGAGGGCATATGGCAAGAATGGGATGGGGCGTGCACCATAGAGCACACCATTTATAGGCGAAAGCCCCTCGAGACACAAAAGAGAGGAGCGGAGGAAAATGAGATCCTCTTCACTTCACTCGGTATTCTTCGCATTCCGGCTTTTCTGGGGGTCATTTAAGAGAGCAGTGCTCGCAAAATGGCCAAGCAGTGAAGTCACACGCCTAAAAGATCTGTTTATTACTCACACCACTCCACATGACCACGTAGCCACCAGCATAACAGCCAGGAGAGGAAGCTTTAAGGACAATAACCGCAGTAGCTTTAGTTTTCTTTAGCTGTGGTATTCCAACATTACAGGGCAGATGTGGAATAAAAAAAAAGTATAAAAGAAAGTGATATTGTGAATGGGAAAGAGAGGAGAGAGAGGTCTCAGAGAGCAAATGAGGGACTGAAAGAGGGGGTGTCAAGTTCACATGGGGGAATGTGTCTCAGCAGGAAAAATGATTTCCCTTTCTACACAACCTGCACCGCAGGGGGTTGTACACAGTTTCACTGCACACGCCTCCGATTTAAACACACTTCCGCCTCCCACCTCTTCTCTCCCCTCCCTTACCTCCCACCCAAACCATCTTCCCTCCTCCACGCTTCCTGTGCCTGCATGCTGCAGGGCACTGGTAGGGAGGGAGGCAGCCAGAAAGCCTGATAACCAGGAAGCGGTCACATCTGGCCCTCGCTAATTCAATTCCACACAAGTTTGCTTTTCCTCCACATAACATAACCTAATTAAAAAAAAAAAAGAAGCAGGAATTGGAGGCACATTCATTTCCAATTCATCAATGAGGAGAGAGGCGGACGAAGACTTCTAAAAAGGTTGGGTCTTTTTTTAATTAAAATCAAAATTGCTCCACACCACTTTGAATTATATATTTACTCAAAATGAAACCAACTGGCAGTGATTACACAAGCCCATATGGGTATCAATACCTGACATTATTAGACACACTCCTCACCTCCTGTGTTTGCAAGTTGCCGTGCCCCAAAGACACAGGTGTGGCAGGACTTTTTAATTTTGAACCTCTCAAACTTTAAGATGTCCTCAGTTTTCTGCCGAACATGCTTCTATGCAGCTTGGGCCTAAATTGTATTTTCAGTTAGTAAGTTAAAAGTATACAAGTGGTGGACAACAAGTCAGTATCAGCTGTTTTTGGTCACACTTACCCATGGCTTTGGTCTCTTCTCCCTTGGCGCTGAGGATAGAAAACTTAAACTTGGCACGCACTTCACTTTTTGGGCAGCTGTCTAAGAGCAAGTAAAGTGAAAGATAGTCTTTACTCTCCTCATCCAGACCTTTAGGGTTCACACGCAAACACCTGGAGGCAGGAAAAGAAAGAAACATACAGATCAGAAAGATAAAGCTAAGAGGTGGAGTGATGCTGGAGTTATTTGTATGTTTGTACGCAATAGCAGTATCAGTTTCTATCCGTAATGGCACTCTGGCTTGATTCTGTAGAGACTGTTGAAATTGTGCCATCCTTGGCTTCACAATCACACCTATTGATTTCATCCACAACCCTTCACTTGGGCCAAAGTGATGGTTTGATGGTATTGATTGTGCAATACACACTGCTGTTTATAGCATGAAACCATGTCAGATAATCATTACATCCGTTTAAGTCAATTGGAAAGACGGCACAAAACAAGCTGTTCTTTTAAAAAAAGCTGGAATCAAAACCTCTATTCAGTCCATAATGAAAAGCTTCCAGTTCCACAGAGTTTTATACTGAGCTGAAACACGGTGGACCGAAGAGCCCGAGCCTTTTCTAACACAAACACAGCAACATAAACATGAATGCCAATGGTTCCATATCAAGCAGCAATAAACTGGCAAAAAGCTGAATATTTCACAAGCCTCCACAGGAAAGAAGGTCACACCTCTACTTCAATACTGGTGCTGTATCAATATAAATCTGTACTGTACAGTAGAAGTATCAATATGGTATTGAACCTAAAACCGTAACACATCAGGAATTATTGACCCCCCCCCCGCTCCTCTTCTGACTACTAAGAATGCAACTTTCCAGGTAACCTTCCTGAAAATGAAAGGATGTTCCTAAATCTACTGGAGATCCATGTTCCAAACATAAATATGTATGCGATATTTAAAAGATTTGCCATGTTCAGTACATCGACGCTACGGGTGAGTCGGTCTCTTTGTGTTTATGTAGAGTAGTTTCACAAAAGGAATCCATGTGCGTGGTAACATATGGGTTGTTTGTTGCACAGGCTGCTATATCGCTTTCGAACAGTAACCTGGAACACATTAACATGGCCATGTGAACTACTAACATGTGAAGCATCTGTGATTCTGATTCACCATCCGAAGGCTTGTCCGTGTCACACTTTATGTAACACAGTAACAATGTGAATGAGCTCTCGGCAATGACGAGAAAAATTAATATCTCTACATATATTCTGTGATGTATGATTCATTTAGTAGGCAAGTGCCATATTACTACTGCTCCCCGACCCCGATAAAAAAAACGATTGCATGATGAAAGAAAAATGGCATTGACTGAACGTTTTTCATACTGACAAATGTCCATTCCATTGTTTTTTTTCTGCATTGTGGATTACATAATGCAGTGTTAAGGCTTTTAAACACCAGGGGCATGACAAATAAACAACACAAAAAAGCGAAATACTCACCTGCAAATATATTCATACTGGCAGAGACTGAGATTTGTGATAGTTCCAACACTTTGTCAATAAAAGGTTTGAACATTGGACTAACTATCGGGATCCTATTGACCCAGAGCAGCAGTCGGACAGAGCAGTCTGTCTGAGTTTCTTTGTATAGTCTAAGCTACTGTTAGCTATTTTATTGAGTATCCTTTTAGCAGAATGCTCTGAGTGAATCTGAGTTCCCTCTAGTAAACTGTTTATATGTCTAGGGCTTTTATTGTGAAAGGTAAAAAAAAGAAAAAGATTCTGGGGTGCGCTTCCTTTGTCAAACTTGAAAGTAATAAAGTAATTAAGTTTGCCATTTTGGTTCTGACTACAGAGAGTCTCTGTGTTGTACGTTTGGAATATGTCCGTTCTGCACAACAGGATTGGTTGATGCTTTTATTCGCTGTGCAAAAAGCTCAGTAAATATACCCCGTTGTTTTGGAAGTGCTTGTGACAAAAACAACTGTTATATGTTAATATGTTAATATGCAAATTAATAGCACAAAAAAACACGTCAAAAACAAAAATACATATTTTTCCTCTTAAATGTACTGCTATTCATCAATTTCGATTCGTGTAGTTTTGGTGTGAGTTGCATAGTTTTGGAGATAGAGATGGACTATATGGCACTCAAAGCGCCAAATAAATATATTTGAAAAACTCAAAAGCAATGTCTCTTTCCAGAAATCATGACTTAGTCTTTCAAGATAATCCACAGACCTTGTTTTTGAGCAGTTAAAACAGATTTTGGGGGCGAACTGTCCCTTTAAGTCTTTTCATTGTTGTTACCGTTACAATTTGGGCTCTCTCATGCTGTAATGCCTAAAGGTGTGGGGCCGACCCGCAGTACACTCTGGATCTCATTTCTCTAACAAGCGTCTGTGAGACCATCGGAGAAATAAGCAATAATGCTCCCGACAGTGAGGTATGATACAGATGGCTGGAAAAGCTGTTCACTCAGATGAGATGAAAAAGCAGGAGGATTGTCTTGGTTAGGCACTTACGGGAAGAGGTGGACTAATGGTACAATGTCCAAAAACAACTCAGGTTGACGTGGTATTTGAAAAAAAAGCCTGGGCTTTCTCTGAAAAGGCCCATCTCCATTTATTTAGTAATTTAAACACGTGCCTTACCAATTCCAGACCCACTGTTGTCTGTTGTCTTACCCGAGGCTACAGTCACTACTTTCAGGTTCCAGCCATGTTTATGTGTGAGATACAGAAGCTCTTCCGGGAACATGACACAATGTCATTTTATACTGAATACTGAACTGGCTGTACATTTACTTAATGTTTCACACGTGTACATTCATCCTGGTATCATAGTTTTATCTTTTGCTCTGAGCCCATAACAAAGTGAGACAGTGAAGGTGCAGCCAGACTAAATTCAAGCCTGAGAAAGTGCTACAAAAATTATTATTCCAAACACACGTGTCAGTAAACATCAGTGGAGATACAGACTAGATGAAGGCACACTCGATGCCACTGAAGCAGGGGAGTGGGTGCTTTAATCTCTTGAAAACAATGTTGTACCTCTCAAAGGTGTAATAATTGGATAGCGCTTGGGAGGGTTGTCGGAGAAAACGTTCTCCGACAACCCTCTTAGAGCAGTATCAATATCTGATGGCTGTGACGACCGGCCTTCACCAACCATTTGAGTTTGTCGTTGGCTCCGGAGGAGAAAGTGGAGCTTTTGACGACTTCCCCCATCTCCTCGCGACAGAAGCTGAAGTTGTTGATGGTCCACATGTAGGAGAACCTCACCACTTTGATCTGAGCAGAAACAAAAAGGCACAGAAAGAGCTGAAGCCAGATCTATTTCTTTATATATTTATCTATTCTACGTGGGTAAGTGGTGCTTGGTCAGCCTGGACTTCAAAACCGCACATCAAAACTGCCTTTCATCTTAATAAACACCGACAACAAACAGAGTGAAAGAAGAAAGGATATTGTAAGAGCAACAACAGAAAAAAAAACAAAAAAAAAGATTTGCAAGAGGAGATGAAATAACAGACATCATCAATGACATACATTATTTGCCTTGGCTCTTAACAGAAAAGTGATGTCTGAACTAGCAACGCCTGTACTGCAATGACTGAAACAAACACAATGTTACAATATAGGTACATAACCCTTAAACAAAGACTAAAATGACACCCGTTTTTGTGGGAAACAAAGTAGGCGTATAATATCAAGTCAGGAAAACACACTTACTGGATAAAATCCAGACATGATTCTTCCATTTAACTACTCACTGACCAGTCACATTAAAGATTACTGACGCATAGTTAAAGTTAACTTCTTCTGTCTTGATAAACAGGCTTACTTTCAAATGTAATACCCACGTCCACAGAGCAAAAATATACAACTCACTTCCAGTCAGCTACTTTTAACATTATGCAAAAAATTGACAGAACACAGAAAGAAATTGTGTGAGTGATGCTCTCCATGCAACAATGTGTTGTTTTTTTCATGCTGAGGAAAACATGAGTTCCCTTCCTCACCTGCGTATAACACCAGCTCTCAGCCACAGGACCGCTGGACATTTCTGCCGGGGGAGGGGGGCTTGGGGCTCTGGACATTGCCAGCCTTGATGTGGAGGTGATCTGAATGGGGCCGGAGCACCAGCCAGGTGTGTTGTGAGGTGTGCGGGGGGGGGGAGATAAGGGCCAATAATGAGTCCAGCTGGCCGCCTTTTAAACAACACCGGCCGTACAGAGAGCTGAATCCGGCGCAGCGGGACGTCCAGACTCCAAAATAGCTACGGGCGCTCTGTAGGGACACAAATACAGTCATTAAAATAGCTTTAAACTAGTGAGGCACATTGTTATGAAAAGATGTGACCTTGCGCGAGTGTGTAGATGTCTGTGTTTGAGCATGTCAAAGCATTTGCTAATTGAATGGATAGTCTAATTGAGCAATATTTCCTAGTGAGTAGGACATAAGAGGTCGGAATTCATTTGGTTTCAAGGAGGCTTCAGCATTTGGAGCACAGCGGCGGCGTGAGCTCCGCTTCGCTGGGGGAAGCCTGCTGTTATCTGCGCGTGGTTTCGTCTTTGTTTTACTTTGAGAGGAGCAGGGCGCTGCGCCATGCCAACTGATTCCAGCCAGGCTGCACCCGTCCACCATGGCTCTCAGTGAAGTGCAAGACTTTCATCTCGAGCTGCCAGTCTGCACTCACACAAACACACACACACACACACACACACACACACACACACACACACACATGGTCATAAAAGACTTTCAAAAGTCAGTGCTGGCTAAGAAAGGTCAAAGTTGTTTTTAAAGAATGCGCGATCAGGATTTGTTTATATTCTTAAGTGCTGCGACTGAGATTTTCACTGCAATTGCCACATTCAAATTGGCATAGGGAAACTTCCTCATTATTTTTCATCTAATTTTAGTTCCTTTCGTACACTAGCAGCCTCATGGGATTAAAAATGTTGGAAAAAAAAAAGAGAAAAAAGGACAGTTTGGTTTGAAAGCTTCATTTCTCTAAATCTCTCATTTCCGCTGGTTTCATGCTCCGCTCCTCTCAAGTTCTTCTCCACATATTTAATACCTAAGTTGACACCAGGTCTCAGGATCAGGTTTTTCTCCTCACTGAACCTGTGCGTCCCCCCCCCCCCCCCCCCCCCCAATCTCCTGCCAAAGAAACCCTTCGACGCTGCTGCTTAATTAGTGGCTGATTGAAGGAGAAGTTCAGGACCTGATACTTAGCAGAAGCCGAGTATCAGACCGAGAGCGCTCAGAGATAGAGCGAGTAACAAGAGAACGGGTGAGAAGTGAGAGACTTCTGTCTGTGCGAGTGGATTGTAGAGGGGAGAGGCAACCTCAACAGCTCCACTCTCAGACACGACATAATTAATGTTTAGAGATAACACCCGCATCTTATCTCTCCCCCCCTCCCTTTTCTTCTTTTGTGCTATTTGTATCTGATGAAAAACACTGGTGGCATTTTCGCTCAGTAAAACAATAAAATATTAATCACAAAAGTTGGGAGAACAAGGCAGCACTGATTTGCAATTTAAATTACCTGAGACTTCCTGGCAATTAATTATAGTCCATATGAGTGAGTGAGGGCCTACACGTGGATTTTCGCCTGTGTTTCTGTGTGTGCGTGTGTCATCATTTGTGCTTTGTTTCACAGCATATCTGAAGCACAATTTACCAAGTGCTTTTCTTGTATTCTGCCCCTTAAGGATCAACAGGAATGGCAAGTAATCACAGGGAATCAATTTAAGAAAACATGACACTGGCAGCACTGCTAACAGCCTCACAGCTTTCTAAATAGACACAGATGACACTTTACCAGAATAAAGCTCAGGATGGGTTTTAGGTTTTTTTTCCCATCCTTTTCACGACAAACATCAAGAGCAGATCGGCAGGAGGAGTGCAGCGATCACAACTCTGAGAGATGGAGATGTGCGCTAATCATACTCCCTCTGAAGAAATGTCTTCAGACAGTTCATTTGTCATGGGAATCAGATGATGACAGCGTGAATGGGAAGAATGACTAATAGGTGATAATGCACACAGCATAGGGAAAATAAATATTGTCACATCACAGTGTATGGCAGGGAGAGATTTACAAAAGACGGTCTTCCTCCAAAGGCAATTAAGAGACAAAGTAAGGCAGTAATGGAGGTACTGTGCTTCAGATAAGGGAGTGTTTGTTGCTGCTCCTTTGGCTCCATCAGCACCTCGGAGGCTGGATAAAAAGCAGTGGAAATAAGGGTGAGGGTGCTTAGACAGAGCAATGCAGAAAGAGAGCAAACTAGTTCAGCTTCTGCAGAGTACACATCTTACTCTTTTCTCTGGCAAATACAGCAAACAAAAAAAAAAAAAGACAGCTTACCATATTGCATAAATGCATACAAAGGCTCTGCAGTGAATACAATACTGTGAAGGCAGTAATGTTCAGTTCTTACTGGGATTCAACACCTCGGTGTATAACTATAACAGAGGGTGGATTTTTCCTCAAGTCTGAATGAGAGATTGGATGTTATGAGCTTCACAAAGCTTCAGTATTAATTGTCGGGCTGTACCGAATGTCTTTTTTAAAAATTATTCAAAGCTTCGTTTGAGGTTTCCAAAGAAAGCTTAAAATCTGTCGTCACATTTTATGATGTCATCAAATAAAAAGTCAAAATTCTAAAACAAAATCCTCGATTTTAGTCGATCATCGGACTAAATGAGTAAAGTTGTTTTCTATTAAATCAACTTTCTTTAATGTATATAAACGATATTGATTGATTGATTCAATGTGTTTGACCGCAGTGAAAATGTTGCTTTTGAGAGGCTCAATGCCAACAGAAATGTTCAGAAGATAAAACCACGTTGTGAATTTTGGAAATGATGACTTCTGTCTTTATTCAAAATCTAACTTTTGATCACGAGCCAGAAAACAATCCAACACAGCCATCATATTGTTGTATAGGTGTTCATGATTGTGTTTAACTTTATACAAAGGACAACATTGTGATATAACATATGACGTTGGGCGGCATATAATGTTTCTTTTTGTTAGATTCCTGTCGATTTATTTTTTTCATGAGCTGTGTATGTGCCGAGTCTATAAAATGCCCCAAAAAAACCCAAATACAAAGATTTAAAATGATATAAAACACAAAACACTTCAGAAGATGGAACCACAGAATTTCTGCCTGATAAATTACAACAATATAATGGATGTGTATTTTAAATTATCAAAAGATTTTGTCACTTCATCACACCAACCGAAACTCATTTTCATGGTCGTGACAGTAACACATCATCTTTCACAAAGAATATAAAATACTGGATTCAAACACCGTTGCTTTGACAGCACTTTGATGAAGTTCCATAAAATCAAGGAGAAAAGTAATTGTGTGTGTGTGTGTGTGTGTGTTCCGTATGCACAATGCAGCAAATGTGTGAGCAAGTAGAGAGACACAGGACCGGTACGGGCCACCTCCATCCATCCCACATCCTCGTCCCATCCCTGTTTTTCAGAGAGGGGAGCCCAGATGAGGAGAGTGAGACCTGGAGCCCATTTATATTCATTACAGAGAGACAGTCTGCTCTCCCCCTGCCAGTCCAGCTGCCATCTCTCTCCATCTCTCTGTCACACACCTCAACACACCAGGGAGGAGAGTCTGACAAACCAACAGACAGATAGATTCAACTTCCTCGGTATAAACAAGAGCTAAGCGAGCTGATGCCGCCCGCGTCCGCACGAGAGGCGGAGCTCGCCGGCTGCCCGGACCGCTACGGCCACACTACACACACACACACACACACAGTAACCACGTCACAAGCTCACGTTACACCGTGAGCAACACACGATGCTCTGCCCGTGGTGTAATAAAGCTGTGTGCCGTGATATTAACTCCATCTGTAAATTATACATGGTGATAGCATATATTTCTGCGCATATGTTACCTCCATCTGCAAAATCTGATACTGTAAACAGCTTACAATGCATATTTACACTCGAGGACACATTTGTGTTCATTTGTTTCTCCATCTGTGCTCGTGACAATCTGAAGGACATGTCTGCACATCCACACCAACCTGGAAGTCTGTCTGTGCTTTGAATATAGTCAGACTGTCATTATTAATTCTATCTTTAGTAAAAACAAATTACCAGCACTTAGCTTAATGATTATATTTAAATCTACTATGAGGAATATTGGAGTGAAGGGAGGCACAGGAGAATCAGGACTGAGCGGAGCAAACTGTCAGACATTGCTTCAGGAAAATTTGAAGTTTTTCTAAAAAGGACTCTGGTGCTAGGAAACAGTACCACTGTTGTCTACAGAGACCGCCACCATCAACACAAAGCTGCAGTTCCTCGTATTAGCTTCTGCTGGGTAGCTTGTGAATCTCCCCTGGGGATCCATTACCTTTTATCTGAACCTATAATTACACATCATCATGTATTTGTTGAATATACAGTATATGTGTGGCCGTTTGCTTTATTAATCTGAATAAAGTAAACATCAGATGTAGCGGTGTAGAAGTATAAGGTAGCAGAAAATGTAAATACTTAAGTAAAGTAAAAATACTTTAAAATTGTACTTAAGTCCAGTACTTGAATACATGTAATCCGATGCTGGTAACGACGATGATAAGCCCTGCGGTTTTATCAATGGATTTGTATGAAATTGTTATGTTTATCCCAAAAATCCCTCAGTATGATCATATGGCAGGGACTTCAGGCGACCAGGCCTGCTGTGAAATAGGAGGTGAAGAGTGACAGAACTGAGAGATGGAAAGCCTTCTGGAATTCATTGCAGCTACCGCCGACACTCTCACAAAGAGGAAATAAAATGATGGGGGAAAAAAACTACACTCGACATGCAAGCACTTATACAAATAACATGTCGCCATCTAAATTCTCTTTAACTTGCAAATTGAAAAAGACACAAATACAGGGGACTTCCCATTAGCCTCTCCCTCAGGGACCCGCTTCCTGCTGGGAGGAGAAGACGACGGGTGGCGCTGTGCAGAGACACCACCACCACCAGGTGGACATGGGGGGGGGGGTGTGGAGCTGTGTGATTTGGCTGCTGCAGAAAAGGAAGGGGTCGCAGCGGGGGTCCTGGAGTGTTTAGAGGGTCACCTTGTGCGACAATAGGCAGCGAGCGAAACAGCGAGGTACAGAGACGGGTTGCAGAGTTTAGAGGGACAGACTACAAAGACTGAAAAACATGCCGAAAAAGCTAAAGGCTAAAGTGACAGAGTGTTGCAGCTTTGAGCGTATGCGTGACGCATTTCTGAACGGA